AGTTAGTTTGCGTACACTGAAGACACACTTAAAAGAAGCTGGACTGTTCAGACGACGCGACTTGCGGTTCAAGGGTCAAACGGTGCCGTCGTCCAATCAGCGATGTCTCATGTTTCCCACTGGTACCTACCTTTTCCGGTAGGTTAATGTAATTGTGTTTTCCTTAATGTAGTTGCGCTTTGCTTTATGTAGTTGCACTTTTAGATTTGTTGTTGCAGTTTGCACTTCAGGGCCACCGTATAAATGTGAGCTGTGAGTGTGTCGCTCATTATTCTCAATGCGAACGTCGCTCTCAATCATATTCATTACTTCAAAACTGATCGGTTCAGTTTAACTTTCATTAAAGATATGAACATATTCAGAGAACGCCGTTCATTTAATGCATTCATGAGCAACACTCTCCGGGCAAAAGGTAGGGTACACCCTGGACAGGTCGCCAGTCTGTCACAGGGTTCTACAAACCCTTACAGAGAAATCTCAGGAATATTACATGTGAAAATCTCATGTAGAACCCAGGCACCATATGTCAATTTAACATTTGGTACACATGTAGAAGTATATAAATGAGGATCTGGAATGATTACCATGCAAAGAATGTGGTACACATGATTCACACGTTTACCACGTTTTTGCCATTTAAAGCAAAACTGATTCACATTTGAGGCCCATGTATATAAACATAAGAAAACATAAAAAATCCATGGATTTACATGAGCTTCACATGTTTTCACACGTGATCCCAATTTTAAGGAAATGTGATTCCTTTCTCAGACCCATGTGAAAAACATGGGGAATCACATGTGCTTCAAACATAAAATGTTTCAAAACCATATGTATACACATGCTCTGTATGATTCACATGTGCAAACGTTGATGATAAGTCTTTTTAACATGAAATGTTCCAAATCCTACATGGAACATGTGTTTTTACATGTGGTACAAATTTCCAAATGTGAATCCCAGTTGAACCCAGTCTGATTTACATGTGCGTCACATGTAAATCACTTACAAAACACACGTATATGTGTGGTACACAAGTTTTTACATGTAACTCCCATTTAAAACACATGTGATTCACATTAAGACCAGAGGTGGAAAGAGTACAAAAAAAATGTAACTGAGTAAAAGTATCTTTACTTTGCCTAAATTCTACTCAGAGTAAAAGTAAAATTACCCATCTCAAAATTTACTCAAGTAAAAGTACAAAATTACTTCATTTAAAATGTAATTTGAGTAAAAGCTACTTAGTTACTTTGAGTTATTTAATGGAAAAAAGGATGAGTCATAAATCGAATTG